CTGCTTAATTCCTTCATCACGGGGGAATTTAAGCGCCGAGGGGGGAGGCCACTCTTGAATTGAGTTTGGTGAGTAGTGAGGACCTCGTTGAGGAAGTGGTTGTAGGGGACAACTTGGGCTCCAGTGATCATGAGCTAATTCGGTTTAAACTAAATGGAAGGAGTAACAGAATTAAATCAAAGACTAGGGTTTATAATTTTAAAAAGGCTAATTTTAACAAATTAAGAGGACTGGTGAGGGAAGTGGATTGGGCAAACGTATTAATGGATCTAAAGGCAGATGATGCCTGGGATTACTTTAAGTTAAAGCTGCAGGAGCTGTCGGAGGCCTGTATCCCAAAAAAGGAAAAAAGGTTAGTAAGCAAGAGATTTAGACCGAGTTGGATGAGCGACTGTCTCAAAGGGGCGATTAGGAAAAAACAGAAAGCGTACAAAGAATGGAAGAGGGGAGGGATCAGTAAGGAAACTTCCCTTAGTGAAGTCAGAGCATGTAGAGATAGAGTGAGAAAGGCCAAAAGCCGTGTAGAGTTGGACCTTGCGAGGGGAATTAAAAGCAATAGTAAGAGGTTTTACAGCCACATAAATAGGAAGAAAGCAAAGAAAGAAGAAGTGGGACCGCTGAAGACTATAGCTGGAGAGGAGATTAAAGATAATCTAGGCATGGCACAATATCTTAACGAATATTTTGCATCTGTGTTTAATGAGGCCAATGAAGGGACTAGGAATACTAACAGCGTGACAGAGGGGGATACAGGAGGGGGGATTACAGCATCAGAGGTAGAAACCAAACTTGAACACCTTAATGGGACAAAGTCGGGCGGACCGGATGATCTTCATCCGAGAATATTGAAGGAATTGGCACGGGAAATAGCAGGCCCCTTAGCGATAATTTTTAATTAATCTGTAAACTCGGGGGTGGTTCCGTTAGACTGGAGAATAGCTAATGTGGTTCCTATTTTCAAGAAAGGGAAAAAAAGTGACCCGGGTAACTACAGGCCTGTTAGTTTAACATCTGTAGTGTGCAAGGTCCTGGAGAAAATTCTGAAAGAAAAAGTAGTTGAGGACCTTGAGGTCAATGGCAATTGCGACAAAATACAACATGGTTTTACGAAGGGCAGATCATGCCAAACCAGTCTGATCTCCTTCTTCGAGAAAGTAACGGACTTATTAGATAAGGGAAATGCGGTGGACCTAATATAACTTGATTTCAGTAAAGTGTTTGATACTGTACCGCATGAGGAATTATTGGTTAAACTGGAAAAGATGGGGATCGATATGAAAATCCAGAGGTGGATAAGGAACTGGTTAATGGGGAGAATGCAGCGGGTCGTATTGAAGGGTGAACTGTCAGGTTGGAGGGAGGTCACCAGTGGAGTTCCTCAAGGTTCGGTTTTGGGACCCATTTTATTTAATCTATTTATTACTGACCTCGGAACCGATTGTAGGAGTGGGCTGATAAAGTTTGCGGATGACACAAAGCTGGGTGGTATTGCCAATTCGGAGGAGGATAGGGATATTCTGCAGGAAGACTTGAATGACCTTGTGAATTGGAGTATCAGAAATAGGATGAAATTTAATAATGAAAAGTGTAAGGTGATGCACTTAGGGATGACTAACAACAATTTTAGTTACAAGCTGGGGACGCATCGGTTAGAAGTAACCGAGGAGGAGAAAGACCTCGGGTCCTTGTAGACCGCCGGATGACTGAGTCGACAATGTGACGTGGCGGTGAAAAAAGCCAATGCGGTCTTGGGATGCATTAGGCGAGGTATATCTAGTAGGGATAAGGAGGTGCTGCTTCCATTGTATAAGGCGCTGGTGAGACCTCATTTGGAGTACTGTGTGCAGTTCTGGTCTCCCATGTTTAAAAAAGATGAATTCAAACTGGAAC